CCAAGTCTCTACTGACCGACCTTTGTCCTAAGAGTGATGTGATACGCTCATTGTAAATCAATTTAAATTTGAACAAATTTTTAGGCCCAATAATCCTACTGAAGTCTTCATCAGAAAGGAAGAAATACTAATGGGCTTGTGGACTTTTGGGCAATGTGTGACTACGTTACCCAGCCTTGAGAATATAGATCACCGTTACCTATTTCCACTTAAAGATTTGCTGCAAGATTGCCAACACTAATTCAAATACATTTTACGACATTGCCTGTATTATACCAGGGGAAAGTTGCCAGGGTCAAGGGAAAGCTGTGGATCGCCCACAAAAACTGGTTATAGCTTTTTATCCTTTCTTTTTATCCTTTCTATCTGTTAATGATGGGAAAGTGTTAATGACACCTACATCCTTACAACCAGGAAAGAGGGTTTGGGGTTCGTAGCCAGACAGACGAACCGACGGACATAGCAAGATCGACTCCAAATGTCCTGAAACGGATTTGATCCAAAGAGACCTAGGGTCGAAAACCATTATATCGATGAACCACGTTTTAGCCGTACCCTCTCTAGCCATATGATTGAGGGTATAAATATATTACGGAAAACCAAGCTGCGTAGGATAACACAAAGCCGGCCCCACCGATATGTTCGTCTTACGAGTTATTATGTGCATGGCGATGACATTGCTGAGTATTTCTCTTATGCGTCAGTGCAGTCTCCATATGAACTAGGACGATTAGAACTAGGCACTAACTGGGATGACCCTAATATTGGAATTATAAGGCCGAGGACTTTTCACAGCAATTGAATTTTATTGAATGACAAGAAAATTAGAAAATATTTTCAATGCATACACATTTTCTATCAAGGCTAGCTAGAACACAATGTTAAATAAATTACAAAGTATAAATGAACAAAGTATAAAATTGAACGCCAATCCAACACTCCTCCTCGTTCATTTTATATTACACTTCAAACGTAGAAATTCGTGTTTTGATATTGGTAGAGGCTTTGTTAAAATATCCGCTATCATATCCTCAGTCGGACAATATTCACAAATTATTATATTGTTCTTCACCAATTCCTTTGTAAATTTATATTTAATATCCATATGTTTTGTTCTAAATGAAAATTTGTCATCTGTAAGAATTCGAAGACAACTTTGATTATCATTGAAAATAACAGTAGGTTTGGTAGGAGGTTCATTGAAATCTCTGAGCAGTTGTCGCAACCATTTAGTTTCCTTTCCGGCTTCAGACATAGATATGTATTCTGCCTCACAAGTGGAAGTAGCGACGATGGATTGCTTTTGACACGTCCATGATATTGTTCCTCCATTATAAAAAATATGCGACCACTTGTTGACTTTCTTCCAATTTGATCATCAGCCCATGATGCGTCTGCATAACCAATTAATTCCAAATTATCTTTTTGAACATTGCTCAAGTTTAATTTCATGCTTGCAGTGTGCACCAAATATTTTACAACTCGTTTACTTTGTTTCCAATCTTCTTCCGACGGATTTGAAACCTTCTGTGACAAGAAACATACTGATGCAGAAATATCTGGTCTCGAATTAACAGATATATAAAGTAAATGACCAATAAGTTTTCGATATTTTGCATTAGTTTCCAACAAGTTTGAATTGTTTTTCTTTCCGTAATTTATATCCATAGGAGATTTTGACAACTTGCAACTTCCTAGGCCAAACTCATCTGCTAATCTTTTAATATATTGGGATTGACAAATTTCATAATTTCCATATAAATCTTTACTAATTTGAATTCCCAAATAACTTCTTATATCTCCCAAATTCTTCATAACAAAACTGTCAGATAATATTTTTTCTATACATTGTATCTGATCAGTTGTTGAACATGCCAAAATTATGTCATCAACATATATAATAATATAGCATATTTGGTCTAATATATATCCGGAATAAAAACAGGGGTCACTCACGCTTTGTTTTAATTTTGCCTTTGTCAATGTTTCATTCAATAAATTATTCCACGACCTTGAAGCTTGCTTCAACCCATATATGGCCTTCTTTAATAAACAAACATTTTTCTCATTTCCATCTTCAAAACCTTTCGGTTGTACCATGTAGATTGTTTCTTCCAAATTTCCATTGAGAAATGCGGTTTTTGCATCTATATGTTGTACAATCAGATTTCGTTTCGCAGCAACAGAGAGAAGCATTCGAAAAGTTGTATGCATGACGACAGGCGAAAACACTTCATTGTAGTCTACTCCATATTTCTGCGAATATCCTTGGGCAACGAGTCTTGCTTTATAACGAACAAAATCCCCATTGGCATTTCTTTTTAATTTGAAAACCCATTTACTGCCCACCGCTTTCCTCCCTTCAGGTAATGGTACTATGTCCCATGTATTATTAGTTCTCATAGCTTTTATTTCTTCTTGCATAGCATCAAACCATTTGTCCTTATCATCGCCTTTAATAGCTTCATCATACGTTTTCGGTTCTGGTTCGTGATTGGCCATCCAAATTTCATCTATTAATCGTTTAGCTGGAATACCCTTAGTTGATCTTTTGGACACGCGTACTGTTTGCTCCTCATCATTCTCACTCTCCTCCTGAATTTGCACATTACTGATTGCTCCTTCATTTTCTTGATTACTTGAAACAGACCTTGATGTTAGATTTTCATCACTATTGGAAACAGAATCTGAAACTGGTAAATTCTCCTCCTCAATCTGTAATGTGCCTTGTTTCTTTTGTGGGAAATCCATTGAGCAATCTCTTAATTCTACTTCTGTAAATCTTACATCCCGACTTACGACAACCTTGTTTTTAGACGCATCGTAACATCGATAGCCTTTTGAATTTGCATCATATCCGAGAAAAATCATCTGATTTGCCGTTGAATCTAACTTTTGCCGCTTTTCAGATGGTATATGTACGAAACATTTTGAACCAAATATATGAAGATTTGAAACATCTGGCTTCTTACCATACCATAATTCATAAGGAGTTTGTTTTGTTGCTCTCGTTAGCACTCGATTTTGTATGTAGTTTGCTGTTGACACGGCTTCACCCCAGAATGATTTTGGTAAATCAGCGTCAATAAGTAAACATCGACTCATTTCCACAAGTGTGCGGTTCTTCCTTTCAGCCTTACCATTTTGCTGTGGAGAGTAAGGGGTGGTAAATTGAACTTGGATACCTTCCGATTTTAAATAATCTTGTAGACGTTTTCCTGTATATTCACCGCCTCTATCGGAACGGATTACCTTGGGGTTACTGCCAAAAAGAGTATTGCAAAACTTTATGAATTCTCTTATAGTCCCTTCCACTTCAGACTTCTCTTTTAGCAATTGTATCACTGTGAAACTTGAGAAATCATCTATAAAAGTGACAATATAACGTTTTCCATTAGCTGTTGCAGTCTGCATAGGTCCGCATACATCCGTATGGATTAAATCTAGTGGAGCTTTAGATGAACATGTTGACTGTTTTGGAAAAGGCAGCCGAGTCATTTTTCCTTTTATGCACGTTTCACAAGATTCTTTAATATTGCAGTTGACTATTTTCATACCTTCAACTAATCCGTCTGCTTCCATTTTACGAATTGCTTTGGGATCCCTGTGGCCTAATCTGCGATGCCACTGATGAATACAATTTTCATTATGTTGTGTCAAGGTACAAACAGCATCTGGTGTCCTTAAAATATACATTTCTCCACTAACATCTGCAATTCCGACTGTTATATCTCTTTGTGTAATTTCACAAACATTTCCTTTAAATTTGACTTCATATCCATCCTTTGACAGTTGTCTAACTGATAGAATATTCCCAACAAGGGTAGGTACATAAAGAACTTCTTTCATTGAAATTTTTCGTTCAACACCATTATCATTCACTATCTTTAAATCACCATATCCTAATCCTTGAACAAAAATATTTTCGCCATTTGCTAATTGCAATGTACTTTTGTATGTCTCATTTAAGGATCGAAAAAATTCTTTATTGTTCACCACATGCCTTGTAGCACCTGAATCGATTAACCAAGAACCTTTACTTGCACTTCCAAAGTTGAAAAGAAAATCATTCGGCGGTTTTGGCGATTCCTGCTTTTCTTCAATCGCGTGAACCTTATACTTGTTTTTGCTGGTGTCTTGCTTTATTTTCCAATTTTTATATTTTACACAATTTTTCTTTTGGTGACCAGGCTTTTTGCAAAAGAAACACGTCTTATTGGAATTGTCAGCAATTTTCATAACAGCATCATTTGAAACGCCATTAGAATGTAGTCGTCTTTCAAATTCAGCAATGACCCTTTGTTGAACAAATGCGAACGTAATCTCCTCTTCTTTGCGTGATTCGAGTGATGTTATCAACGTATCATAGCTCTCTGGAAGACTACTGAGTAACATAGCAGCACTCCATTTATCCGTCAATGTCTCTTCACCGATATCTCTTAATTTTGTGAATAAATCATTCATGTTATTAATGTGGCTTACCGCATCACCTCCTTCTTCAAGCTTCAATGAGCATATAGAACGCATCAAAAAGACTTTATTCGTTAATGTATTTCGCTCATGATACTCTTTTAAAGCATTCCAAGTCTCTTTTGCTGTTTTAAGGTGCCTTATATGACATAATTGATCGTCCATCACTAAGAGACCGATTGTGCCTCTTGCCTCGTCATCCTTTTCATCCCAATCACTAATTGCTGCCGCATTTATAATATTACCTGCTTCTCCTCGATTTTCACGGGGTCTTGGTCCTTCAATTACTTTCTTCCATAGATTTTGCTTCCTTAGCAATAGTTCCATTCTGAATTTCCAATTTGCATAATTGGAATTGTTCAATTTTGAAAATCTTGGTTTAGCTTCAGCCATATTGCCTTTACTCCTTATTGAATTCTGTTCCTGGAAATATTGATGTCCTTAGTATTTCTTGATAATCCTTGATCCTTTTGTCGATTGTTGAAGCTCTTTAAGGGCCCATAACCTATTGGAATTATAAGGCCGAGGACTTTTCACAGCAATTGAATTTTATTGAATGACAAGAAAATTAGAAAATATTTTCAATGCATACACATTTTCTATCAAGGCTAGCTAGAACACAATGTTAAATAAATTACAAAGTATAAATGAACAAAGTATAAAATTGAACGCCAATCCAACACCTAAAAGTAACAAAGAATTTATTTTTATATTTACATTTAAACACTTTTTGAAGATCAAATTTATTTTTACGAACCTGAGTTTATCGGCTTGCATTTTGTATGTCAAACAAATGGAAAAATAGTATTTTTAACATATTTTTTTAGAACTGAATTGTTATGAATGCTTTTAATTAAAAAAAGCTCGTAAAATTTCAAAAATTAATGCAGTGTACCGACCATTGGAACTTCTGTATTAGACTACTGGCAAGCAATAAAAACTGTTTCTGGAGTTCTAGTTTTATTTTGCAGTTATTTATTCTCCGTTTGTTTTTGCAGCCACATATATATTCTCTTTTTGTGTACTTATGTATGACATTCTTTTATTAAATCATTATACCTACCTGCTACCAGCAGACAATATAGCTAACAAAAGTTATTATATTGAACGCTCTCTTCTTCAACACTCCGCGGTGTATTGTTTTTCTAATTTTCTACATCAGATAACGTTCAATCATAATTTGTTCTATTGCTATTACTTTTTAATAATCTTATCAAAATGTATTAGCTAAGCTTAGACGTGCGCGTATATATAGAATAGCAACAACACTGGACTTTTGTTGGTGCAATTGTTGTTGATTTTTTTCATTTGGTGATAAACAGTACCTGCCCGCCAATCAGTTGTCACCATCCACGCTACCACCACCTTTCTTATCCTCCACCACGTTGTTGGAGCCTTGGCTCTTTTCATATATGTACCTATTTTTGTTTTTATTCAAACATTTTTGCTGACGTTGTCGTATTGTATAGTGCAATTGAAGAAAGAAATAAGAACAAAAAACAGCGTGTTGGTAAAAGAAATTGTCCAAAATTTTGATTTGTTTGATTTTATTTTCAACAACGTGGACATATTGCTTGCGATCCCAAGAATCGGAAAAGACAAATTTAGTCGTTACGTATAGTAGCTAGAGCATAGCGTAGAATTGTGGTATGTGTTCTATTAACTTCCAAAGAATTGAAAAAGAATTTTAAGAAAAAATTGGCATTATAAAAATTTTAAATATTTAAGTTGTGTAGTGCCTAGTTGTTTTTTGTTTATATATCCAATAATAATAATGTTTTTTTATCCATTTTTTGTTAATGGCATTTTAATGTTTGCTAAAAAATAACATTGTTTTTAATTTTTTTGATAAGAATGTTGTTATCAAATAAAAAGTTGCTATAGCCACGTAGGCTTTCAATTGTTGCATGCATACCTTTTATACCAATATAACATAATATTAAAACTAAAAAAATGCTATTTTTAGTCATTTAAATAGCAGTTGGATAAAAAGTGAATAAATCTTGGAAACACCTTATAAGAGAGAAACTAGTATTCTTTTCAAAATTTGCTACCGTTGAGTAGTAACTTTTAACCATTATATATTTGGGGCAGAATGTGGAAATGGATCATCAATGGAGATCTAATATATACATAATTTGGTGTCTTTGGTGGCGTTTCTGAACCGAAAACCAAATCTTCTTAATTAATCCCTTAACCAGACTAATGGCTACAAAGTTTTTGGCCACCTGTTTGGCTGGCTAAGGCGCACAATAACATCAAAGGCTCAAACGTTCCATACTGTAATATTTAGACAATACATTTGAAATTTATGTCTGTGACCTTTCGTATTGAACCCACCACCTGGAACTTACACAGGGTAAGCGACGGGGCCTAGGCCCTTCGAATTAGTAACTTTTCTTATTTTTATGCATTAAAAATGCAAAATACAATTTTATTTTTATCATTTGATAGGGCCAAAACATACGTCATCGAAATGATTTTAGACCCTAGATCTCTTTGAACCAAATCCGTGTAAGGACATTTGGAGTCGATCTAGCGTTGTCCGTACGTCTGTTTCTCTGGCTGGTGCGCACGATAACTATCGAAGGAAGTGTCCGATTTGACCCAAACTTGGTACATCGTAATATTATTGTCAAACTTAAATCGAGTTCGGTGATGGGCAATATCGGTCCACTTCTTCTGGTATCTCACCCACAAAATGTCAACATTTTCAAAGAAAATAATTTGCACAGAAAGAGAAAGGATAATACGGCTTTGCTCCAACTTTGCAAATCCTAGTATTTGCATCAGTGATAGGTCAGGTGCGAAAACGGACAATATCGGTCCACTCCATCAAGTACTTCTCCCATAAAGGGTCAAAATGTTGAATAATTATAACTCTCACAAAATGTGATGTAAATGTCCGATTTTTTACAAATTACACACATCACAATATTTTTATAAACCAAAGGTCTAGTGTGAAGATGGAATATATCGGTTCACTCCTTCTGGCACCTCCCCCACAATTGGTCAACATTTTGAATATATATGAAGCTCATAAAACACGAAATTAAAATGCGATTTCATTCGCACTTGGTACATCTCAATATTTCCATCAGCAGAAAATCCGTTATAAATATGGTAGAGATTGGGTCATTCCTTCTGGTAACTCAACCGCAAAGGGTCAGCGTTTTAAATAACAAAAGCGATCATAAAATCAAAAAAAAAAAAAAAAAAAAAAAAATCCGGTTCTCCTCAAATTACACACATCACAATATTTTTATTAACCCAAGGTCTGGTGTGAAGATGGAATATATCGGTCCATCCCTTCTGGTACCTTTCCCACAAAGGTTCAAAGAAATCGTAATAAGCATCCAACTCTCTTCAAATTTCACGCACCAAATATTTTTGAATGGACGCATAACGATTTATGTTATGGACCACGTCAAAGATAAAACGGATCAAAAACATACGATTTTATCGAACCATTTTGTTTAAAATGTGACTCTATAATGGAAGTTGACGTTGGGACGACATGCCATCTGGCGGGGTGATATTGGCCATCGTAAGAAATACCTCCCAATCTCAAAGTCAAAATCGGTCCCTGGAAGTGGCAAAAGTGCAAAATCAAAATATGTTTATCTACCACCTTCAGGTGGTAGCGGATGGTTCTTGGTCTAAACCCATTCTGGGAATGTTTGTGATGGGAAAGTGATGTTCATATGAAAATTAGAAAGGATAGACGATTTTTGTCTAGACCTGGACAATTTTTTATATTACATCAAGAACAAGATCTACCTGATCCTCTCCACAGCCTTATAAAACTCTTGTGGAATTTTATTCTCAGCATATCTGATTTGAATTGGGGTATACTTCAATCCAGGAATTTTATTCTCTTTAAAGTGAAATATGCTTTAATCCAGAAGTCTTCAGTGCCGAAGACTAATATGGTATACATTCGCTTATATCTCTTTCCTATCCTGACCGTATTTACAAATACTTTCCCATTTCTGAATCTAGCAGCAGCTCCTATTTCAAATTTGTTAATATACAGGGTGATAAAAATAAACTGCAACAAAGTCAAGCGCCATATTTTTACTTTTTTTTTTTAAATTTTATTGAATGATAGCAAAAAAATTCGGAAATAGCATCAAATTTTAGAATAAGTTTAGATTTGTTCGAATTGGTCACCTTTGGCACGAATTATGGGCTTCAAGCGGCCAATTAAATCGTCACACGCTGCCCGAATGTTGCTCTGCGGTGTTTTGGACCATTCCCGGCGAAGCACTTGCTTGAGGTGATCGACACTTTGGTACTTTTTAATGCCAACCTTGCTTCTCAAAATACTCCAGACACAATAGTCCAACAGAGGTTGGTATCCAGAGATTTTGGTGGTCATTGTGCGCTGGAAATGAAGCGAGGAATCTCATTTTGTAACAATTATTGGGCGGCGCGTGCTTAGTGCATGGTGCTGAGTCCTGTTGGAATGTTCAAGGTCTGCGCCCAAAATGTTTGCGTGCCAAAGGCTTTAATACACCCTCCATAATATTTTCGCGATAAAATTCGGTATTTATTCTGATACCACGGTCGATTAATACGAGCGGAGAGCGACCATCGGCTGTTATAGCGGCCCACACCATCACCATGGCCGACGCTTGAGTTCTGGTGGCCAACCGAAGGTGCACATTTTTAGCTGACCTCTTTGGAAAGTAAACACGATCATTTTGTTTGTTTACAAACTGCTGGACAACGAATGTTTTCTCATCGGAGAAAACCAAAAACCAAATTCGGCAGTTCAGCATATTTGGTCAAGCGAAGCAACTTTTTAACTCTTTTGAGTCTATTTTCTTTCTGTTGCGGTGTAAGTTCTTGTACTTTTTGGAATTTCAATGGCTCATTTTTCAATATTTGGCAAATGGAATATTGCGATATGTTCAGCTCACAAGCCATTTTTGCGAGCCACTGCGAAGCGGGTTTCGATCAAGTCGCTTCTTTACTATTCGAACGACCTGTCACTGGAATGACAGCAGTCTGAAGTTGGTTGCAGTTTTTTCATCTCACCCTTTATGGTATACATTCGATTATATCTCCTTCCTATCCTGACCGTATCTACAAATTCCTAAAGTAGTTATTTTCCCATTTCTGATTCTAGCAGCAACTCTTATTTCAAATTTGTTAATATAGAGAAAGTTAAAGGTTCTGGGTCCTGAATATACCGGGTAGATTGACTTCTACAGCTTGCATTAAGATTCGTCATAAGAGATAAGAGTGGCATTTTTAGTGTACGCATCAAATTTTCCTCATGATCTGAGCAAATATCTCGCCATAGATTATCCCTATAGAAGGAAGTCGAAAAAAATATTTTACCTCGCCACTTAAAGTCTATGCATTATCGATGCCTTTAAAATTTACCAAGTTTTTATCCAACTGCTAATCTTATATACAAACATACAAATATAAAATAAATAACATTTCTTGAATTGTAATATCTGTTGAAACTTTCTTATATTTCTCTGTAATGCTGCAAATAAATGAAACTCTAATTATTTTGAACATTAAAAAAATCTACAACAATACTAACAATAAAAAAAGAAAATAATGGAGGAGTTCATTGAACTTTAACACCAATTTTAAACGAGTTTGTACAGAATAAAGTTAAAAAAGAGAAATAACAATTAAAAACTCAGCCAACAACAACACACACACACAAACTATAACATAAAGACACACACACGCAAAAACACATATGTACGTAGCGTCGTAACGTGTTAATTTATTAAAGCCAATTTTGTAAATTCTTTTTCAACAAAATAAAAAAAACGAATTTTCTTTGGAAAACTGCTCTACAAAAACCCACATCAGCAGTTAAATAACTCAACGAACATATCACCTTTTTTCCCATTGACAAATATTGTTCGTTTGCTGGTCATACAACAGAGTAATAGCAGCAAAGAAAGAAACCATGGCCGAAGATCCAATTAATCAACAACAATTTGCCGATGATGTCTTGGCCGCAACCCAAGATGATGGCAGCTTTGCTGGCAATTTGGGTGATCCCAATGGTAACATGAAACTGCCAAGTGTTGATGAAGTCTGGAAATTAATCGAACAAATGGAGGGCATTAGTGATGAGGAACGTGCCAGCATTCGTGAAAATCTGTATAATCCTCAAGAGGGCACCGCCGAGGACTTTATGAAACGTTATGCCGCTCAACCGGCAATGGGCCATACCTCATGGGATTATATTATCTTCTTTACAATGCTTGCCATAATCTTGGCCATTTTTGGTAAGACTTGAGTTTATTTTTTTAAAACAATTTTTGGATTTTGTGGATTAGAAGAGTTCATGTTTTAACAGACTGAATTGAATTTGAAATTTAAATATTAACATTTACATGCTTAAGATCAATCCGAAAAGAAAAATTACATATGCTGGTTAGATGAAGAGACTATGACTTAATTGAAACAACCCTGGCTTCCTCAATTCATTTTTGATTCGAGTAAATAGTTTAATGCTTTAACAGAATTGTGTTGGCATATATGTTTGGGGATTCAGTAGTTGTTGTTGTTTTTTAAAAAACAACGTTTGTGTATAAGTGGAGAAATATGGTAAGTTTTACCGGGCGGCGTAAGGCAGGGAATAATATGGTTCCTGAAAGAGCCACCCATCCGCATTTAAAGTCATTTAAAATTAACTCCTGTGGTAAAAACTTTTTTATCCAAGTGGCGAGATCGTCATATGTTTTAACTATTTTTCATACCCTCCACCATAGTATGGAGGATATATTAAGTTTGTCATTCCGTTTCTAACACCTCGAAATATACAGTTTAGACCCCACAAAGTATATATATTCTTGATCAGCATAAAGTTCTATTCCGATTTAGCGGTGTCCGTCCGTCCGTCCGTGAAAATCGCTCTTGCTTCCAAACGAAATGAAGTAGGTTGATAGAATTTTACTCAAATATATATTATGTTTGCAGGACTTATTGTATTGAAAATGGGCCATGTAGGTCCACGTTTTGGTATGGCTCCCATATAATAGTACCTGCCTATTTTCGGCAGGTCCACGTCTTCGTATAGCCCTCATATAACGGTACCTCCCGATACTCGCTATTTTGATGATTTTAGCGACATTATTTACCGGAATTGTCTTAAATTTGATATTTGGAGTTCTTAGTGGATAATACAGCCTAAGACAGAAAATTGTCTCTGTAGGCCCACGTCTTCGTATAGCCAGCCCCCATATAAGGACAACCCCCGATATTCGGTATTTTTACGATTTTAGCGACATTATTCACGGGAATTGTTTCAAATTTGGTATATGAAGTTAGTAATGGATATTACACACTGGCAGAAAATTGGCCGTGCAGGTCCACATTTTGGTATAGCCCCCACATAATAGTACCACCCAATATTGATGATTTTACCTACATTATTCACCGATTTTTTTTCAAGTTTCGCATTTGAATATTGTAATGGCTTATGACAAAAGCTGCCTATGCAGTTCTACGTCGTCGTATAGACCCTAATATGACGGCTACATTCGGCATTTTAAAGATTTTAACAGAATTTTTAACGGATTTTATTTTTTTTTAATTGCTAAATTCGTTCCAAAGCGTTTTTACTTGTTGTTGTTAATAGATTACAAACAGTTCCTGTTGGGTGCCAATAATAATATAAGGTTTGAGTAAGTTAAAATGTCAGGAAATTATGAAAAGAAAATATGACATCTTTGACAACTCGGTATAAGGCACTGGGTCCTTTCCAGATTATTATTTTTTGTTTTCGAGATTTTGAAAGTGTTACGAAGATAATTCCACTATTTTTTCCAAACGACCATTTTAAAAAAAGAGATTTTTTGCCTCAAAAACAAGTCATCGGCATGTGGCGCAAAAGTAATCGTCCTATCTGAAAATGCTACAAATATAACGATTGGCCCCTATTGTCTTAATCACAGCCAAAAAACATCGGAATGTCTTCCAATTACATATGCATGTACAAGGTGGCGCAAAAGTAAACATCCGATGTTTTTGACATAAGGGGCCAATCGTAAAATTTATAGAATTTTCTGTACTATAAAGATTTTATTTTTATACAATCAGTCATATAGGTATATCTCATTTGATGCAGCCGAAATCTGTCTCATCTCTGTCCGGCAAGTGCGTACGATAACTCTCAAGAGGTGTATCCGATTTGTTCCAAACTAGGTACATAGTAATATTATTATCAAACTAGTACCTCCATCGAAAAAGGTAAAAATTCTCAAAGAAAATAAATTATCATAGCAAGATTTTGTTCGAACTTTGAAACTTTGAACAATATTGGCCCACTCCTTCCAGGACATCATACAAAAAAGTAAAAACTTTGAATAATCGCAACGCTTATAAAATTCGATAGAAGAGTCTGACTGTCTTTAAATTTCACCACTCCTTCTGGTACCTTCCCCACCAAGGGTCAAAATTTTGAATAAGTGGGCAATTTCTGTTCACTCTTTCTAGGACATCACACAAAAAGGTAAATATTTTGAATAATCGCAACGCTTAAAAAACTTTAAAGAAGATTCTGATTGTCCTAAAATTTCACCACTTCTTCAGGTACTTTCCCCACCAAGGGTCAAAATTTTGAATAAATACCCTAAACCCTTATAAAATGCAAAACGAACATCCGATTCTTTTCAAACTGAATATATCTCAATATTTTCTATCAGACCACTTCTTCTTGTATCTCGCCCACAATAGGTCAACATTTTGAATAGCCTGATAAGATGCCAATATTTCTACGAACAAAAGATCTGATGTGAATATGGGATTTATTGGCCCACTCCTTTTGAAAACCTCCCCCTCAGAGAAACTATAAATAATTATATGTTTCATTAAATTCAAAAGAAATGTATCTCAATTTTTCTGTCAACCATATTTCCAATGTTAAGTTGGGATATGCCGGTCCCCTCTATCTGGTGCCTTCCCCACAAAAGTTCAACATTTTTCTAATAAATCACATCTTATATAAAGTGGAAGAAGTAGTCGATATTGCTCAAACCTGCCACGTCCTAATATTCATATTACTGTTAGGTAAGATGCGAAGTGGATAATATTGGTCCACGCCTTCGGATCTCCTCCATAAAGGGGTCAACATTTTAAATAATCTTAACGTAATTCAAAATATGTTTTAATAGACTGACATAGGCACCGAATTGTATCGGAGGAACAAATCTTGGACCAATGGCGAGCAACCCAGTTCTTTGTGTTGGTTCACTTTTCCATGAGGAACCCAGTATACTCCGTCACCAAAGTCAAATGTTTGTAAACTTTATCAATTTATGGTATCAGCAACTTGAATAGTTTCAATACTAATTAGTAGTAGTAAATATCCTAGTGGCGATATATGGGTCACATTATTGTCTTATTTTTTCAATTATTCTGTTCATTTATTTACATACAAATGATTTCTAAACAACCTCATAAAAACAAGTACATACATAAGAAATTCCTGAAATCCTTGACCTAATTTCACTCCTTTCTTCAAATAAAAACTATGTAAATGAGTTGATGGTGTCACGTCGTCGTCCACATTCTTCATCCTAGATATTCCATTAAATAATGGCTGTCTTCCATGAGATAACGAACAAAACCGGATCTAAAACAAAATATAAAAAACAAAGAAGACGTATGAATGAACTATGTACCCAACAACGAAGTTCGTTGGTTGGTTGGTTGGCGGTGATGGTGACACCAATCACAATGGTTATGTCGTTGTTGTTTTATCTGTAAAACGAAATGTCTACAAAATATTTCAATGCCGGCAAAACGCATATATCCCCACAACAATATGGACAACAACAACATCAAAACATTTATGGGATTTAGTATTTATGTACGTTCCTACACAACTATGTACGTGTGTGTGAAAATGGAGAATCTGTGTGCGAGTGCGTTTGAAACATGTGAAAGTGTTCTGTGCTCCCCTAAAGAGGTGGAAGACTTTCTTCTTTTCAACCCCAAACGCCATGATTTGGTGGAAGTAGATTTTCAAATGTTGGCTAGCACGGTGATGTGGTGGTGGTAGTGTGGGTATGTGCATGACCATCAGATACATACAGACATTGCTCCGTACACATGGCTATGTCAACATGTTTACTTTCCACTGTGTTCTACAGCAATTAACAATGAATTGTTGTGTTTGTTTGATGTTTTTTATCATCATCATTAGACGGCCAGAGATAGGGACAGGGAAAGAGAGAGAGAGAGAGAGAGAGTGAGAGTGTGTGTGAGACGTTGTCGTCTGGTCATGACAAGACCCCAAAAAAACGTCAACAGTCGTGCACAGATAGCTTTGGGCTAAGATAGTCAGTTACTTATTGTCGGGCTTTATTCGCAGATCTTTGGTTAACTAATGCCAGCTTTGTATTAACAACTACCTGCTACAACCAACCAACGAACAATCCCGCCGTTCTCAGTTAACCACAAAAGCAACCTTTACATAAACTGACAATAAAAGAGTGTTTTTGGGCTGACGATAAGATTAAAGAGAAATAAAAGCTCATTTTCAATTACCCAACCAACCAAGTCGTCGTAGCTAGTCTGCTGTGCGGTAGTGTGCCAGTGTTTGGCTCAGTCGTTGAGAACCGCCACAGAAGAAGTCATAAGCTTTTTTAGTACGCTGCTCTAAACTGCGAAGAGAAAACATTAGCGGAGTGTTTCAAAAATAAAAATAAAGAAAATCCCAACCACATAAATAAAAAAAATTAAAGTTAAAGAAATAAACGACTGTGATTGTGTGTTCGTTTTTAATTCTCAACAAATAACCCCAAATTTGTGTTAACCAAACTATACCTGCCTTCCAAAACCAAAATGGCCAACAACTATGCCGCCGAAGATAATCTTGTCGAACAATTAAAAAGTTCCGTTAAAGCGATCATGGACAAGACGGGCTCAAGTAAATTTGCCCATGATCTAATGGAAAGAATTCACAGTTTGCAGCAGCGCCTGGAAACCTTATCGAACACAGAGAAAACACAATTCATCGAAGAGATGAGAGATACGTTTCGTGCCACAATTGAAACTGTGGAAAACAAGCTCATGCAACACGCTCACTTCGAAAAGGTCTACACCTATTCAATATATGCAGCCATTATATTCTCAATACTGTTTGTATTTGGTAGGTTCCGAAAATGAATGAAATGATTAGCGTGATGGTGTTGGGGGTTTGCGTGCAAGTTATTCCTAGCATTACTCAATTTCCCGCCTCTTTTTTTTTCTAATAACAGAAATTATTAACAATGTGCAACATGTTTAAGATTATCAAAGTTGTTGTTTTTTTTTTTGTTGTTGAATCAAAGCAAATGTGATAAATGGCTATGAAGGAAAGGGGACGCGTGTGAAATTAAAAAAGTCTTTTAAAAGTGAACTTATTTTTATTGATGGTCAAAAATGACATATTATTGAAAATGGATTTAAAGCCAGTAGGAAAAGGACAAAAGTCGGGCAGACCCGACAATACAACACCTTTCACTAGAGACAAATTTGTGTAAAGTAAAATTTGTGCAAAGTCATTCGCACCAACTACGTTTATAATAGAATTCGTATTATGGCTTTAAAGTGATGTAAACATCAAATCGAATGTAACTAATATATGGGAGCTTTATCTTAATATCAATCGATTTTAAGCTGTATTGACTTAAAGTACGATATATCATTAGGTGTATACGGAAAATCATGAACTGTCAGTTTCGTGTAATTATTTCGATAAATACTGCTCCTGTAATAGAAATTAAGCAATAAATTTAATCAATTATTAGTTTTGTTTGATTTAATATTACCAAATGATGTGCTAGTGATAAATGCAAAAATTTTAAAAATAAATCAACATTTCAATTCCATTTGCTACAACTTGCTGGACAAATATCGTCCAGTAAATAAATTTTCAAAAATAATATTTTCTGCGCAGAAAGTGAAAAAATAATCCGATTTTGCTCCAACTTTGCCAATCCTAATATTTGCATCAGTGCTAGGTCAGGTGCGAGTACCTCCCCCACAAAGGGTCAACATTTTGAATAATTATAACGCTTATAAAATGTGATGTAAGAGTCCGATTGTCTTCAAATTTCACACATTCCAATATTTTGATTAACCCAGAGTCTAGTGTGAAGATGGAATCTATCGGTCCACTCCTTCTGGAACCTTTCCCACAAAGGGTCAACATTTTGAATATCCGTGAAGCTCATAAAACGCCAAATTAGTATTAGATTTCATTCAGACTTCGAACATCTCAATATTTCTCTCAACACAAGATCTGTTATAAAGATGATGGTAGTGGTCGGACATTTCCTTCTATTACTTTCCCACAAGGGGTCAAAGTTTTGAAAAACCAAAACGATCATAAAATCTGAAAAAAGTATCCGGTTCTCTTTATATTTCAGACAACCCATTATTTCTACTAACACTAGATCTGATGCGAGGATGGAATGTATCGGACCACTCCTTCTGGTACCTCTTCCACAAAGGGTCAAAATTAACATCCGATTCCATTCAGACTTGGTACATCTGAATATCTCAGACCATTTCTTCTGGTACCTCCCCCACAAAGGGTTCCAGATGCTGAAAAACAAAATGATCAAAGGAAGCGGAATATGCATCCAAATCTTGCCAAATTTCACAAATATAATCATTTTTGCTAACACAAGATCTGTTGTGAAGATGATATAAATCTGCGAACCACTTCTGATACCTCACCCAAACATGTCAGCGATTCCATACAATATGGAATTTTTGATTTTCTATGAAATTAGAACTAAAAGATAGATTTTCTTGAAATTTTGCCCATGCCAATATTTTTTATCTGTACTACAACCTGGTACCTCACACACATTTTAACATTTTCTTAAAAATTATGACATATCTCATATAAAGTGAAGGAAGTAGTCGATATAGCCCAAATTTCACACGTCGCAATATTTATATCATATTTATTTAGGTCCGATACAAAATGCACAATGTTGGACCTCCATTTGAATGATCATAACAGGAGTCAAAATATGTTTAAATAATCGAACATTGGCTGAGGGTATACATCTGTCGGCTGATTCTTTTTAACTTGTTGTTATTTGTTTTGATATTCAATTTGAAAATTTTTAACAATTTCAGGCAGTAAATTAAATAATTGAATTAGTTCTCTTTCAATATTTATTATACCATCAAATACCTATCTATACCATTTACCTACACTATGGTAAGGTATTTCAATTTCTTTTTGGATTTGTTTGTAACATAGAGAACGAAACGATATAGAGTCATAGTTCCTTTTGACGATCTCCATGGAATTATATTCAGAGTCGATTTAGGCATGTCAGTTTGTCCATGTATTCCTGTAAACATAGTACAGGTCGCCTTTATTGTCTGATTTAGATTAAAAGAAGGGGTGCAGGGTATCATAAAGTCGGCACAGCCCGGCTCTTGACATTTTTTACAAGTTTTACTTTAAAATTTTTGTTTAAATGCATTACCATAGCAACAACTTAAGTCGCGTGTGTATAAATTAAAAAAAAATTAGATGTTAATTTTGCCATAACTTAACATAACATAACTTTTGCCTTTTTGAAGCGAAACCTATTTTAATGATTCTGTATTATCACCCCTTGTGAGGGAGGTCACCAAAGGAGTGGTGCGATTCATCCCATTATCCCAAAAAATTGACCCTGTTTGAGGGAGGTACTTGAAGGAAAGGCCCAATCCTTGTATTGTCTATTTTCGCACCATACCTAGCTCTGTCACAAATATTGGGATAACAATTGTTTTCTTTTATCTTTCTATGATTTAAATTTTTTCTTTGAAAATGTTGACTTTTTGTTGTGAGTGGTACCGGAAAGTGTGTTTCAATATAGCACATTTTTGAAATCGATCTATGTTTGATAATAATATTATGATGTACAAGGTTTGGACAAAATCGGATCTGATTTCCTGCCGTTATTTCTATGAGCACGTTTTGCCCGTATCAAAAAGTATACAAAGTCATATGACTGAGTGTATTAAAAATTACTTTTGTCATTAAAAAAGGGGTTAAAAACCCGCAAAATGAAAAGTAAAGTGTGTAAAGTTAGAATGATCCGAAGTTTTAGAGCCTGCTGAAAATGTGGTCTGGATTTTCAAAATTTTAATAATTGAATATCCGGATAAGTCCAAAACCTAGCTTTCAGAAAAAATTAAAAACAATTAAGAATATATTGTTATTATTATTAAAGTAATAATTACGGAACAGTATTGGCATGATTGTTCGGGATACCGTAGTATTTTGTTGTTGCTTAATCCCATTATTGTTTTTTTTCCTAAAATATATTAAACCAATTGGGATATCAAAATTCAAATTACAGCTATTCCGGCTGAAAAATGTGGTAGTGCCAAATTACCGAAAATCGGGAGTTACCGCTATTTGAAGGTCATATCTGAAAGTACACCTTTATTTTTATTCTATACTGAACCTACGTTCTAAAAGAAATGTTTGTATCATTGCCAAATTCAATACTGAATCTATCCAGCAAGTATAAATATTACAAATCTTGTTACCAACCCATTATTTTAATATGGACATGCAGCACGAAATAAGTGTCCACTAAATTCGACAATTAAGTATTTTATATACGACTTTTAGTGGCCAAAATCGTCAAATAAGTAATTGGTTAATCGAATTTTATTGGCCTAAACATAACAACTCATTTCGTACGACATGCCCTTGTTGCATTAATGTGTTGGTAACAAGATTTGTAATGACTATTTTTGCTGGGCAATACCTTGAACTATATAAAACCGGAGGGAATTATTACATTAAATACTGCTCCTATTATGAAACTTTTTGTTATGTGACCTTTTTTGTGGCGAATCGATGTAAAATTCTTTAAATTAGATGGTCTGTGGGTGAAAATTATGATAATTAGTGCTAAAATTTAACCAAATTGATTATAAAATTAACACAGGGACCGTTGAAAGGCGGTTTTGATAAAACAAGGGCTGTTGTATTTTACTTTCAAATCCAAATTCAAAATGTTAGCCACTTAAGTCGATCTGTCCAAAAGTAAGAGTGATTACCACAGACGGACTTCTGACAAAGGTTCAACCCTACAGAAAAATGCCTTTCGTACTTTGTATCAATTTAAAATTGATTCCCTATTGAGAAAATTGTCTTGTCAACTCACAATTTAATTGGTTATTTTATTTCTTAATTCATTTATCACAGTTTTATGGATATTGTTATTGTCTATGGGGAGCTTTCAGAAAACATTTTAAAGATATTTAAAGAATATATTGTTATTATTACTTTACTATTGCTATTTGTACTCAATTAATTCCCTCCATTTTTTCCCTCTCTCTCGTTACAGCTCTCTTCGGTTATAAATTATACAAATCGTTGATGTCCAAGGAATTGAAAAAGCAAGAGAAGCTTAAACAAAAACAAAGCAAGAAAAGTAAAAAGGTCAACTAAAACTAATTACTGACATGCTACACATACGCGCACACAGGCACACACATGGCAACACAAATACCACATCTGGCAAAGACAAATAAAAACCCCCAAGAATGAGAGAGTCATGTTCTCTCTCTCAATCTTTTTTGTAAGACGTTATTTAATTGAACAAGATGCTGTTAAGGGTTTTTTGAAATACCTCTTTTTTTGGGTATTTTTAAAACCATAGATCTATTCCTTAAGTTTTTTTTCTATTGTAATTAGTAACTAATTACTTAAAGGCTCACTTACATATGTTTTTTAATTATAGCGAAATATATTTAATATATTGCAGTTTGTTTACGTAAAGATGTGTCAATGTTTTAAATGAGAATGTACTTACACGGATGCTGTACATTTACCTCAGATTGGTTTTCTTTTTTTGTTTGTTTTTTTTTTCAATGTCTTTTTTAAAATAACTTTTTTAAATCATGAGCTAAAGAAAATAATGGACAAGAAAATATAGACAAATAAAAGTAAAGTTTTAATTGACATTTTTAAATGCAAAGTTGTTTTACTCGATCAATAAGAAGAAAAAATAGGTTCTTCAATGATCCTATGGTGTAGGTAACAGTATATGTGGAACAATAAATAAATGTTTCGATTATTCTTCTGTTAAGATTATTAAAATTGTTGACCTTCTATGGAGTACGCTCCGAATGAATGTACCAACATTGTCCATTCCGTTCGGACCTAAATAAATATGACTGCTTTGGACAATATTCCTCCTCTTTATATTAGTTGTGTGATCATTTTTAGAAAATTGTATAATGTGTATCTGTAACTGTCGACCAAAGTTTTTCATTTTCATACTTCATCTAATATAGATAAAAATATTGGTATGGGAAAAACTACAGGAAAATCGAACATTTATATCCAATTTTATGCGAAAACACAAATTCTATATACATCTCATGTTTTTGGTTGAGAGAAATATTTGGATATAACAAGTTGTAAAGAATCCCTTACTTCTTTCGCAAGTTATGACATATTAAAGTTTTGAAAATTACAACCCTTTGTGGGTGACGTACCGGAAGGGGTTAGCAGACACATATAATCTTCACAACAGGTCTTGTGTTTGCAAAAATGTTTGTATGTGTACAATTTGAAGAGAGTTGGATGCTTATTTCGCTTTCTTTGAGCCTTTTGTTTTTCAAAATCTTGAAAGCTATGTTGGGGAGGTAGCAGGAGAAATGATCCGATCTCTACCATCTTTATAACAGATCTTATGTTGATGAAAATATTGAGATGTACCAAGTCTGAATGGAATCGGATGACAATTTCGGGTTTTATGAGCTTCGTGAATATTCAAAATTTTGACCCTTTGTGGGAGAGTTAGCAGAAGAAGTGGATCGTAATGTTCCATCCTCTCACTATATTCCTAATAAAAATATTGTGATGTGTGTAATTTGAAGAGAATCGGGTGCTTATTTCGGATTTTATGATCGTTTTGGTTATTTAAAATGTTGACCCTTTGTGGAGAAGGTACCAGAATGAATGGTCCGATCTCTACCATCTTTATAACAGATCTTGTGTTGATAGAAATATTGAGATGTGCCAAGTCTGAATGGAATCGGATGACAATTTCAGGTTTTATGAGCTTCGTGTATATTCAAAATTTTGACCCTTTGTGTGGGAGGTATCTTCACAGAAGATATGATGTGGGTAGAAATAATGAGATGTGTGAAATATAAAGAGAACCGGATGCTTATTTTGGATTTTATGGTCGTTTGGGTTATGCAACCAAAAGGAATGGTCCGACTTCTACCATCTTCATTACAGATCTTATGGTGGTGGAAATATTGAGATGTTCAAAATTTTGACCCTTTGTGGGGGAGGTACCAGAAGGAGTGGACCGATATATTCCATCTTCCCAGCAGATTTTGGGTTAATAAAAATATTGTGATGTGTGTAATTTGAAGACATTCGGACTCTTACATCACTTTTTATAAGAGTTAAATTATTAAAAATGTTGAACCTTTGTGATGGTGGTACTTGACCGATATTGTCCATTTTCGCACGTGACCTAGAACTGATTAAAATATTATGATTTGCAGTGCTCTTTCAGTGCAGTAAAATATTTTTTTGAAAATTTCGTGCTATTGTGGGGGAGGTACGAGAAGGAGTGGACCGATATTGCCCATCTCCGAACTCGATCTAAGTTTGATAATAACATTACGATGAACTAAGTTTGGACAAAATTGGATGCTGTCTTCGAGAGTTATCGTACGCAATAGCCAGCCAGACAGTTTGAATATGGGATCACATCACAAAGAATCAACATTTCTCACAATATTTCAACCAACTCTACATCTAATATAAATAATGAATATGACAGATCACTGATTCTGATAATGATTTCATTTTGTTCGCGCCTAAAGTCGGTTTTGTTTTCAAAAGAAGGCAATTTTTCAGCATACACCAGGTTATAATACCGAAAGCGCAACACCTTGAATGTTTTAAATACAAGAGACGGCTGCAAAAATATCACGCAAAACAGTAATTTTTTCAAAAGTCATTAACTGTTATTATTTGCTTGTTAATATAGAAAAAAAATTCTTTTAAATAAACAGCAATAATTACTTTTAAGATTTTTAATAATATGCACAATAATTCTATACCATATATTACTCAGTTTTTGCATGGAAACTTAATATTCCTACAACAACTATATACAAAATTAATTTCCTCCATAAAAAAATTACTGAACATTTTTCACTCATTCGCTTCATAATCCATTAAATCCTCTTCTTCGAAGGCCTTAAGTATTTCCTCTTCATCGTCTTGTTCTTCTTCGTCGGGTGTTCTATTATCATCATCCTGGCTTTCCAGATCATTCGACATAGCATCCTGGCTTTCGTTATTAACAAGTTCGCCCAAAATAAACTCTACCTCACCGCTGTTATTTTCCACCACAACTATTTCCCGTTTCTTGCGTTTGCTTCCTCCACTGCAGCTGCTGCTACTGGTCTCAGTGGCTTTTCGTTTTTTCTTTTCTTGGAACCTAGATTTTTTGCCACTATCCTCTGTCCATGTCGCCGATGAATGCTCCTCTTCAATGTGTTTTTTCAATAGAAAATAATTAATAAACGATGCCGCACAGCCATCATCACAATTTTCATAGCAAATAAAACTTGAACGAAAGAGAGAAAAAATAAACATGAATATAAAATAATTGATGTAATTAATAGCTTGTAGTGATTTTTGTTTTTCTTCACTTACTCCTTGTCATCTTTGTGCCGTTTCATGTGCAAGACCAGTAGTTGTTTGCGTGCAAATCCCTTGCCACAAAGTTCACATTGAAACTGAAGACTGTCAGTGTGTTTAGCTGCATGATGCAAATCCAAAGATTTTGGATAGGTCGTAACAAAATTACATAGTTTGCATTTATAGGTGGTGCTTGGATGAACCTGAAAAATTTATATTTGCTTTAAAATTTAAATTCAACCCTTTGTGGGTGAGGTACAAGAAGGGGTTCGCAGATATATATCATCTTGACAACAGATCTTGTGGTAGCACAAATGTTTGTGTGTGTAAAATTGGGAGAGATTTGGATGCTTATTTCGTTTTCTTTGAGCGTTTTGTATTTCAATATCTTGAACCCCATGTGGGGAAGGTACCAGAAGAAATGGTGCGATCTCTACGATATGAAAATATTGAGATGTGCCAAGTCTGAATCGGCATGTTAATTTCCCGTTTTATGAGCTTCACGGGTATTCAAAAATTTGACCCTTTGTGTGGGAGGTACCAGAAGCAGTGGACCGATATATCCCATCTTCGCACCAGACGTTGGTTTAATAAATATATAGTGTTGTGTGAAATATGAAGAAAACCGAATGCTTATTTCAGATTTTAGAATCAATTTCCTTATTCGAAACTTTGACCCTTTGTGGGGGAGGTACCAGAAGGAATGGTCCGATCTTTATCATCTTTACAACAGATCTTGTGTTGATGAAAATATTGAGGTGTATCAAGTCTGAATGGAATCGGATGTTAATTTTGTGTTTTATGAGCTTCATGGATATTTAAAATGTTAATCCTTTGTGGGGCATATATCAGAAGGAGTGGACCAACATATCCCATTTTCACACCAGACCTTGGGTTAATAAAAATATTGCGATGTATGTTATTTGAAAAGAACCGGAAGTTTATTTTGGATTATATGATCGTTTTGGTTATTCAGAATTTTGACCCTTTGTGGGAGAGGTACCACAAGGAATGATCCGATCTCTATCATCTTTACAATAGATCTTGTGTTGATAGAAAGATTGTGATGTGCCAATCGGATGTTAATTTCGCGTTTTATGAGCTTTATGGATATTCCAAATTTTGACCCTTTGTGGGGGAGGTACCAGAAGAAGTGGAATATGTCCATCTTCACACCAGATCTTGGTTTGATAAAAATATTGTGATGTGTATGTAATTTAAAGACAAGCGAACACTTACATACCATTTTATAAGAGTTTTAACTATTCAAAATTTTGACCCTTTGTGGGGGAGGTACTGGATGGAGTTGGCGGATATTGTCCATTTTCGCACATGTTCTAGCACTGATGCAAATATTAGGATTTGCAAAGTTCTCTTTCTATGCAGTAAATTATTTTCTTTGAAAAAGTTGACATTTTGGGGGGGGGGGGGAGGTACCAGAGGATGTGGACCAATATTGCCTATCTCCGAACTCGATTAAAGTTTGATAATTATATTCCGATGTTATAAGTTTGGACCAAATCGGATACTCCCTTCAAGAGTTATCGTGAGCACCTGCCAGACAGACGGACGGATGGAGATCACTGGATCGACTCCAAATGTCCTGAAACGAAATTTGGTCCAAAAAGAAATAGGGTCTAAAACCGTTATTTTGATGAGCCACGTTTTGACCGTATCAAATGATATATACCCTCTCTAGATATATGGCTGAGGGTATAAAAAATTGCTTTACAAAGATGAGATTATTTTTTTCGAAAGCATAGAGGACTTCTTTCTTGTGAACAACTGTGACTAAAGGGCGGGATTCTTGTGGATAAAATACGGCTGGAATTTGATGGTATTCTCACCTACATGTAAGACATATAATGAATGCTTTTTAGAGACTTTTATCTCAGGAAAGTCTCTTATTGTTTATAAACAAAATACCATCTGAAAATGTTGGCTGGGTACGATTTTTGTATGTTTATGTAACACAAAATGCAGCTTTAAATCGAACGAAAGGACTTGTCTCTAAATCGCTAAGACTTATTTTGATAACAAAAAAAAAAAAGATAGGTAATACGGTACAATTTCTGAGTCTTGGGAGAACGAATCTATTAAGGGCTATATTTGGTGGATACTCGAGCTATGCATTGCTTAATTTGCTACCGAAGCATTGTAATAATATGGGTAATGGGATAGAAGGATGGGGGTAATAATTTGTCAAGTCAAACAGTCTGGTATCCTGCTCCTTAATTTAGGTTTTAGAAATGTTTAACCTAATAGGTCCTCCTTGGGTCTTACTGAGTTGCAATACTTTTTTTAAAATGCAAGTAATAAACTCGAAAATACTCTATTTCCTCCTTGTGTTTTCTAAGTATGGTTATATGGTTTCCCTCACATTTGTAGATCATCTATATTTTATAGACATCTTAAGGCGTCATTGAATGACAACACCATGTATTCACTGATACACATCGAAAATGTGTGTCACCTTTTTGCAAAATAAAAAGAAAAAACTAATCAATTGGACACACACACCCGCACACACAAATTAATCGAACGTAATAAAACCTAGAAATTCGGATCTTAGTTATTGATAGTTATAAACTAATTATGATAAAGAACTCAATTAAAGCTTATCGATAGTCACCCCGTTCTTTACTCACATTTTTCTCATGAGCTTTCAGTTCACTCTGATAGTAGTAGCCCTTTTCACAATGACTGCAAAAGTAACGCTTCATATTTTCATGGACTAGCTGTTCGTGTGATATCAAATTACGTTGATTTTTAAATACTTTATCGCATTTGCTGCATTGCACGGTAATATGCATGCGCATCATGTGGTGCTTTAAGTCCTTTTCACTTTTGTAGGATTTTTGGCAATGTTGGCATTTGATGTTGTCTGAAATCGAGCAAAAGGATAATTAAATTGTGTCGCAGTTGTTGTAACTTTATAACGACTTACTATTATTGTGAACCCTTGCAATGTGTACGGCCAAGGACATTTTTGTTTCGCACACCTTCTCACAAAATTGACACGGAAACTTACTGGGTGCATCTGTAGTCTTATGCCTTTTCTTGTGATAATACAACGATGACCACAAGGGATAGGCATCCATACAATCCCCAATATTACACATATAAAATCTTGCAATTGGAAAGTCATTAAGCCATTCATCATAATCTTTATGATTGGTCATATGATTACGCATATGTTTTAGGGTCTTGAACGTTTTGCGACATATCGGACAGCAATAGAGATTATCGTCATGGCTTGGCGTGTTGCGATGTTTTTGTAAATGCTTCGGCGAAAAAAAGTCCAATGAACAACATTCGCAGGTGTAGGCAATAGAGATTATCTTTTCGATATATTCACCGCCCGTATCGACCGGTGAGGTTTCTTCGTTTTCAATGTGATTCTGAAAAGAGTATTTTTATTAGACAAATATATTTTTTAGGTTACTAAAGGAGTCCAATTTTCATAACTGAAAAACTGAGCTCAGTGTTGAGATTTATCTCTTGGAATCCTCCATACTTTTTAATGAATTTGTCTGTATTTAAAAACCTATTTAACCTACCTGTATAAATTCCTCATTATTTGACAATACACCACAAGCCAAACATATAAACGATGTAATTTTCGCTTCTGGCATATGAGCCTTAATGTGACTGCGATAACTGGCTTGATTAACAAATATCTTATAGCAATGATCACATTGTAAGGGTTTCATTTGATGATTGTGATAAATATCCTGGAAAATATTTAAATACAATTATAGAAATCATTTAATTCCATAAAACATCAAAGCTTACCATATGACTAGTCAAACTACTTCTATTTGTATACTTCTTGGGACAGTGAGGACATTCAAAAATATATTTGTTTTCATGACTCAGGACATGCTGTCCAAAAACATCTTTATCTTGGAAGAAGCGATCACATCTACGACAAGAAAGAGATTTATTTTTTATTTTATGAAATATTTTTTCTTGAATGGATTTCAACTCACTTTATACAAGCCATAGATGCTTCCGTTTCATGACCATAACTAACATGTTCAAAGAAATCATCAATGTTATTGAAAAGGGAACTGCAAAGCACACAAACTTTGGGACGATGTTTGCTCAAGTGGAATTGCATGTGGAAAACAAATCTGTAATAATTCAAGAAACCGATGATTAGAAAGTTATTAATTTAAAGTAATTAATTTTAAATGGAGTATAAAAAGTGAGTATATTCCCATTCCTTTCCATTAAAGGAAACATGTAACCAAGTGTCCTTTAGCATATAATGGACACAGTGTAAGGTAAGTATAAAAAGCACAGATAGAATTGTTGTTAGTAGACTAACCTTTTCAACGATTGAAAATGTAGATTACACATCTGACAAAAGTTCTTCATGCCCGGCTTTCTTTTAATGTCACTGCAGGAATGTTTATTAAAGTCGGCTATATTTGAGAACGGTTTCCGGCAATCTGGACAACGGCCATAGATTCGTAAACTATAAGAAAGTATAATAATTCACATCAACCGACATATAAAATTTAACTTTAAAACCCATTACCTTTCAATATTTTTGTAATGTCTAATGATCAAATGTCGTGCCAGTGTTTTCAAATTACTCACAACTTCATTACAATCAGCTTTAATACAACTGAAATTTTGTTCTTCCTCCACTAGCTCAGTGATACATGAATGTTGTAGTAGCTCTTGAAATGTGGCATATTTACAGAGGCATAGCTGCAAAGAAAATTGGAAATTTCAAGTCCAAATCATTGAAAATTAAGGTTAAATTTTAAATTTCGCTTACTTTACACTCCACTTCCCATTCTACTTGCAGGTCATCGAAGTTCGTAGCAATGACGTTATCCAGATACTCAGTTATATCAACTTTGTCGTAATCTACAGAGGTAATAATTTCTGAAAATGGAAGATTTTTAATTAAAACATTAAAAAATAAGGAATTTATGCTCGACCAGTCCAAAACATATAACAAATACCCTTCACTATTACAAGAACTTGAAACTACGTCGAAAAAGGTATACTTTTTTATTAAGGCTCTGGGCATTTCAAATTTGTATTACCTATAGGGGCCAATATCGGTAATAAGAATTAGAAATGCCCAGAGCTCTAAACAGATAATTTTTTTATCTGCTTCAATATCTCGTGAGAAATTATTGGACTGATTCGTTCGCAAGGGTTAGTTCTGCCTCCAAAGAGCAAAAATAAATTTGGATATATATTTTTTTGAAAGATGTAAACGTGGGTTTGTTAGCTTTAGATTTTTGGAATATTCGAATAAGAAACTATTATAGATTTTAGAGAATGTTCAATGGACAGATTTTTGGAAAGTTCCAAACGTGAGCTCTTTATATATTTTTTAGGAAGACTTAAACGAAGCGGTGTATCATTGATTTTTGACAAGATCCCATTATAAACTTTTGAGAATATTCAAACGTTGACTTATTTTGAATTTTTGGAATGAACAAAAGGTGGACCGTTTATACATTTTCGGAAAGATCCAAATGTGGACTTTTTTTGAATTTTCAATAAGATCCAAACGGACAAATTTAGATTTTTAGGACAATCTCAGGAGTAGTACAAATGTCTATCTATTTTTAATTTCTAGTACAAGCTAAGGAACACAGCGAAGGAGAATCTTTAACAAATTTCTTGGAGGAACCAGCAATTTTTATACCCTCAGCCATATGGCTAGGGAGGGCATATATCATTTGATACGGCCAAAAGGTGCCTCATCGGAATAAGGGTTTTTGACCCTAGGTCTCTATGAACAAAATCCGTTTCAGGACATTTCGGAGTCGATCTAGCGATGTTCGTTCGTCCGTCTGTCTGGCTGACTCGTGCGCACGATAACTCTCGAAGGGAGTATCCGATTTGGAAGAAATTTGGTACATCGTAATATTATTATCAAACTTTGATCGAGTTCAGAGATGGGCAGTATCGGTCCACTTCTTCTGGTGCGTGCCAACAAAAGGTCGACATTTTCAAAAATTTTACTGCACCAAAAGGAAAGGATAAGCCGATTTTGCTTCAACTTTGCAAATCCTAATATTTGCATCAGTGCTAGGTCAGGTGTGAAAATGGACAACATCGGTTCACTCCATCAAGTACCTCCCCCACAAAGGGTTAACATTTTGAATATCCCTGAAGCTAATAAAAGGCGAAATTAACATCTGATTCCATTCAGACTAGGCACATCTAAATATTTCTATCAATTCAAGATTTGTTAAAACGATGGTAGAGATCGGATCATTCCTTCTAGTACCTCCACCACAAAGGGTCAAAGTTTTGAATAACCAAAACGATCATTAAATCCGAAATAAGCATCTGTTTCTCTTTATATTTCACACATCTCATTATTTCTACTAACACAAGACCTGCCATGAAGATGGGGTATATCGGCCCACACCTTCTAGTACCTCCCCTACAAAATGCCAACATTTTGAATAATTATAACTCTTATAAAATGTGATGTAAGTGTAAGATTGCTTTCAAATTACACACATCGCAATATTTTTATTAATCCAAGGTCTGGTTTTAAGATGGAATATATCGGTCCACTCCTTCTGGCACCTCCCCTACAAAGGTTCAAAATTTTGAATATTCACGGAGCTCATAAAACATGACATTAACATCCGATTCCATCTCAATCCGACACATCTCAATATTTCCATCAACACAAGTTCTGTTATAAAGATGATAGAGATCGGACAATTTCTTCTTGTACCTTCCCCACATAGGGCTCAAGATTTTGAAAAACAAACCGATCAAAGAAAGCGAAATAAGCATCCAATTTTTAATACTTTTATCTGTCATAACTTGCGAAACAAGTCAGCGCTTCTTTATAACATACTATATCTAAATATTGCTTTCAAACAGAAATCTGAGAGGAATATGCAGTTCGCAATATTTATATCATATTTACTTAGGTCCGGTACGAAATTGACAATATTGGTACATTCCTTCGGAACCTACTCCATAGAGGGTCAACAATTTGAATAATCATAACAGAAGTCAAAATATATTTAAATAATCGAACATTGGCTGAGAAAGGAACACAACGGAGGAAAATCTTGAACAGATTTCTTTGAGGAACCAATAATTATTAATTTAAATTTTGTGAAGTTTTAATGAAAATAAAAAAAAATCCGTTTATAACGCCACCTAATATTTTTTGGGTATAAATTGTTTCGAATTATGGATATTAACTTGTAGCCGTTGTGGTCTGCAGTTTTAAGCCAGTCATGCATTAAAACCAAATTAAAATACTGTTCAATATTACCTTCAACATAGTAATTCTCATCCTGAATGTTTTCATTTGATTCAGTAGCATCCAAAGAATACTCTTCATTTTCAACGAAATCTGTGGTGTCCACATTATTGTCATTAGAGATTTCATCAGTTGCCTGGATTTCCAATGTTTGATCTTCAAATTCACTTTGTTGATCCTCTTCATAAACATTTGTCGATTCATTATCATTTCCGTTTTCCAACTCTATCAAGTCAGCAGCGGGCTCATCAAATTCCACAGCATCATCTTGTACATAGATTAAGGTATCATCAGTTATGTCTTCAACAGCACTTTCTTCTTCACAAGTATTTTCATCAACCCCAGGATTTTCTTCTTCCCCAGAATTCTCATCTTTATCGTTTTGACAGAAAATTTCTTCGACATATGCATCGGATCCTTCATCTTCTGTATTATGTTCCTCATAAACCATCATTTCCGCCGCTTCCTGCTGTTTTTCATCATTGTCAACAGCTAAAAAATAATTACTGCCAGAATCGTCTGGGTATTCAGGGTCCTCTTCAATAACGGACGATTTAGTGTTAGCTTTGAAAACAACAGTGTTCTGTTCGGAAGTTGGAGATGATTCGACGTAAGTTTCCTCGTTGTAGTCATCATTTTCTTCCATGTCGTTTGACTCTTCTATGGCTTCGAACCCGTTATTATTCTCTGATGGAAGTTGTTGCAAGTGAGAATCTACGTCATCTTCCTCGCTAATTGGTTTTGCATTAACACGGAGAACACTATGCGATTCCGATGAAACCAGATTGTGGAAACTCCCATCATTACTCAATTCTGTTTCAAAGTTGGTTGCCAATTCTGAAATTTCTTCGGATTCATGATCTATGGCTTTATGTTCTTCATTATTTTGGTAAGCAAGGACCTCAGCTAAAGATTCCGTTTGATCACTATCTTCATATACATTTTCGTCGAAGGTCACCGTTGACTGTAACTGATGTACATTGTTGTAAATATCTTCCACCTCCTTGGTATCAGTTTCCAATGTGCGCGTAGATGGTGTACTGTCCACATAGCAGTGTTCTTTTTCTTCTTCTCCATTATTAATGTCTGTTTCGAGCAAGGTTGTTACCTTTGGTCCCTCATCACATTTGCCTTCTATATCAGCTGCTTGTTGATCTGCATCCTGGAGTCCTTTATTAACTACAAAAGAGGGTGGTAACTCCCTAGTTTCAGCTTTAATGTAAGCATTTTCTTTATTAGAAGTTTTCCCGCTAGCATCCGCATTTTCTCTTTCCTCCTTGATTGAACATATCGGCACCGTCAACTCTTCTTTGTTCTTTGTATTTCCATCATTTGCAGCCGCCTTTAACTCTTTGCTATGCTCTTCCACATCATATAGTTCTATTAAACGATTCAGGCATTCATCGCAAATTTCCTGCTTGTGGCCCTTCTCAGAGGAAATGGAGATTCCAAAGTATTTTAGAATCAAATCACTTAATTGTATATCCTCCAAATCAGCTTCGAAAATGTTGTGAAAATCCGTAGTTTTCTCTTGGGTCTTGCAAGATAAGCAAATGCTGGCAGTTGTTGTAACACCAACCGACGACATCGTTTCAAATGCGAAATTTAAAGTTTTTCTTCACTTTACTTAAAAACTATTTATTTTACACAATTATTGTAATTTTTGTTCATAAAAAGCCTTAATTATTCATTTTCTATAATTTATGTTTATTTTCCTTTCACGGCTTCACACAACAGCGGGCAATGTGTTTACAATTACCAGCACGAATGTGTCCATATCAATGCACGCCTAAATGATAACGTAAAGGTTTAACGTATACGCATTGATTTGTTGGACCACGGAAATATTAAACAATTTTTAAATTCTTATAAATTCAATTTCAATCACATTAAAGCGATTAATTATGTTAAATAAAAATAAAAAAATATATTCAATAACAGAAACACACTATTATATTGCTTTACGACAACTATTATATTTCTTTACGCGCCAAGTTGGAGCGACCTTTAGAAAATGCGTGCGCTACACAAAATTAAAGCTGATTCAGGTTGTATGATTACGAATGTCACATTTTAGATTTATTTACAACATGGGCTTTGAATAGCTTACACAGTGAGTCCATATGACAGTATATAAATATGACTAAAGGTGCAAGTACATAACAAGCTTCAAGACATGGCTAGGCATATTAATGTCAAATTATAATGGAAAACGACGGCTGGATTTTGGTGCGGCTCTGTAATCCCTTTATGAAATGTCACAAAATATGCCTAGCCATGACTTCAAGCTCTTTATGTACTTGCACCCTAATTGTGAAAATCATTGAAAGCAATTATAATTATTGTTGTTTTCAGAGAAGCAAAGTAATTTATATCGTGATTTTTTACTTGTTTTTAGCGTTTGTGGGTGAAAATATGTACATCTTTTTAAAGTGGGGAGATGCAGAAAGGTTTTGATATTCAAATTGGTAATGTTTTCTTTAGTTCTCTCTCATCATAGACATTGATTTATACCAAGGCCTTTTTTATAAGGTCAAAAAGGAGGAGAATTCATATATAAGTCTTCTTACGCTGTCAACATTTATTGCACGAAAGCTTATGAATACAGTTCAAAGTGTTCACAAATGTTACACATAAAGTTTATAAAGCTAAATGAGGAAGAACAAGCAGATAAGTTCGGCAGGGCCAAACTTTTTCGGAATGAACTTGACAAATTATAAAAAAAATATCCGTCGAAAAATACCGCCTCAATGAAAACATTTACATGGCGGCATGGGGCCGACGCAAATCGGAGGTTGTAATGAAATGTATTTATTTCATTAAAATATATAATATTTTTTCATTAAAAGATTTTCAATTTCAAAATCGGTTTGATAGTTCATTGTCCCAGCAGCTGTGTCGATGCGACTACCTGTATTCTTCTACCATACTGTGTACACTCGTGTGTGAATTGTTAAATAAAACATTGTAGGACTTGCAGTCTAAATGAACCTTAGTTTTTATTGGTGCATAAAAAAGCCTACACGGGTCAAGTTACACCCGAATTTCATAACAATATGATCTTAAAAATAAAAAAGTAATTTAACGGTCTTACTAAGGTGAGGTAAAGTCATATGGTAAGGTACATGTCAAGCAAGGTAAATATCATATGTTTATGTGGTTATGCTTATTTGAAATGACTTTACCTTCCTGATTTTACCGTGGGTCTTAAGGTGAGAGTACATAAAATGATTTTCCGACTGGCTTCTTTGTAGAAGAACAAAAGAGTTTTTGGTTGACTTAGTTCGATTTTAGCCCTACGCTCCTTTGTTCTTTTCCGATGAAGCCAGCCGATGACTTAAGCCAGTCAAAAAAGCGCTTTATGTATTCTAACCTTTATACTACCTAGAAAAGCCAGTAATGAATCTGATACAGTAACGATCGTAATTCTTTTGTGTTTTTGTATAACACCAAACAAATTTCAATAAAGTTAATAATCAAATTTTTAATCTTAAATTTAATAATTTTATAATAAAATCCACATTCAATAACAATTTCAAATTAATATCGGTTTACACATGTTACAATAAAAAGGTAAGGTAGAGCTACCAGCTGATTACAATTTTTTTCTGAGTGTGCCCAACTTCTGCAAATTTTGTGTATGTATTTATTGTTTTAAACAAAAAAACAAAATATTTTCAAAATCAATGATTGGAAAAAACGTGGGGCCCGCATTGAAGATATTAACTAGTTTTGCCATGGAATTTATAGATTCGACACATTGGCTCATATTTTTGAAAGAAAATCCAGGTACTTTCATTCATCTTTCGCTTTATTTAAGTTATTTTAAAAATGAGAAAAAAATGTGAAATAAGTGAAAACCACTTGTTGCATATAATTTTGAATAATTCTGATAGGAAGCGGGCATAGCCTCAGAGCTGTGTTTATGTACTTTTAAGAAGCTGTTATACCTCCTTATTGTACCATGGGTTTACATCAATAACACATTCCTACTTGAATATAAGCTAAACCTTGATCTAATAAACTTTCTTTTATGAAGCTTATTCTATTTTCTTTTTCTTTGCATTTAACTATTGATCCTCTTGAGCAATGCGTAATAGCTGTAGGAACAGTTGACAATCTGCAAGAGAAATCAAAAAATGCATAATGTGGCGTTTCCACTGCACTTGATTCGCTCTCTATTCGTTGTTTGACCCTTAACTATGAAAAAACTACTTAATTCTTCACACAAAATTTCCTGAGCGAACACTCACATTTGTACATTGTTCAAATCAAATCACTCTCAGAACAACGAACAAATGTGTCCCATCCCTAACAAATGAGAGCATTTATCGAAAAAATTAATTATGACATTTAAAAATTGAAAATAGAAAAATTTAATGAAATTTTGAAAAATTTTGGGAAGACTGAAATTTATGAATGAAAACTACAATGTAGAATAGCGTATGTACATTCAAACGAAAGTAAATTTTGTTTTCTCTCTCATCCGAGGTACGCATTTTGTCCACGAGTTGAAATTTTCACAGAAAACTGTAAACAAAAGAGGCAATATTTTCAAAATGTTTGTATCGGCAGAAAAAATGTTTGACAAGTGTCTCTCCAGCAGAATTTAAAAATAGAAAAATACAAAAATATGTTCAAAATGTCAACATTTACACAAAAAGTTGGAAACGTGAATGAAAATTATAAAATTAATGTTTTAATAAATCTTTGGGAGAAAAATAATCATTTCTTCTATCCATATTAGTGAGAATTTAATGTATTTTAGTATAAATTCCCATTAAAATCAACAAACAAAATTTGGAAAAAAAGGAATTATTTTACTATGAATTACGAATCGTGCCGTATGAACGGGTTAATTCGTGTACCTAATTCTGAGAGCAAACAACGTTGTTCGGTTTCCAATGGAAACATGCTATAACATTTATTTTCGAATCCTCAATTCCAAACTTCTCTCCAAACTTACCGAAGTGAATGCTGCCAAATTAAAAGTGTAGGTGGGATTAATCGATTTAATGCGTATCGGTATATCGAATCGGGTCATCATTAGCAACGTCAATTTACGATTCGATGCACTCCAGTTGGCCCATTTCGAACAGTACAAATGGTAGGGAACTTCTTCACTCTTCGATGTTACCTCACTGGGGAAATAGAGGAGGATGTAAATTTGCGACAGCATGCACAGCTGGTAGATGAGGAATTTAATGAAGTTGGCAAAATCGGAAAGCTGTTGAAAGTAGGCAAGATGTGCATATGACATAAGAATTAAAAATATTGCTCTAAAAAGTAAATAATATTCATAAATTTTACTCGGTGTAGTGTCGTTATGTTCGTCAAATCTTTAAATTTCCGAGTTTTCAAATTACAGGGTGAGATGAAAAAACTGCAACCTACATCAGACTGCTGTCATTTCTAAGCCACTCGTCTGACAGCTCTTAAAATTATTCCAGTGACAGCTCATTATATTGTTTACAAGCGTACAAAAGCATTTTGGTGAGAATTTTCCAGAAAAGAAGTTATTCGTGATAGAACTCAAGGGTGATAGTGTGATTTCTTTATATTTGGCTGGAAAACCACAAGTGGCTATCGATAGAGCACTCCAGCATTTAAATGTGAATAAGAAAGCAGCAACATCGGCAGAAATGGTTCGAAAAGTAAAGAAGCGACTTGATCGAAGCCCGCATTACATTGGCCGAAAAAAATGGCTCGTGAGCTGAACCTATCGCTATATTCCATTCCGCAAATATTGAAAAATTAGATTGGGGTAAAGCCATTGAAATTCCAAAAAGTGCAAGAACTTACACTACAACAGAAAGAAAGTGGTGAACTGCCGAATTTGGTTTTAACGATGAGAAAACATTCGTTGTCTAGCAGTTTGTAAACAAACAAAATGATCGTGTTTACTTTCCAAAGAGGTCAGCTGAAAATGTACACTTCGGTTGACCACCAGAACTCAAGCACCGGCCATGGTAATGGTGTGGGCCGCCATAACAGACGATGGTCGGAGTATTTTGAAAAGCAAGGTTGGTACTAAAAAATACCAAAGTTTCGATCACCTTAAGCAAGCGCGGGAATGGGCGAAGTTACCGCAGAGCAACATTCGGACAGCGTGTGACGGTTTCATTGGCCATTTAAAGGCCGTAAATCGTGTCAAAGGTGACCAATTCGAACAAATCTAAACTTATTCTAAAATTCCGACATTTTTTGCTTACATTATATACAATTATAGCGTTTGACTTTGTTGCAGTTTTTTTATCACACCCTGTATATTCTTCATCAGCATAAAATTCTATGTCGACTTAACGTTGTTCGTCCGTCTGTGGAAAACACTATAGCTTCCGAAAAAATTGAAATAGGTTGGTAAAATTTTACTCAAATGTGTGATTGGTCTGCAGGACTATTGGTACTGAAAATGCGTCATATAGGTCCACGTTTAGGCATAGCCCCCATATAACTGCACTTACTTATATTAGGTATTTTGATGATTTTAGCGACCGGAATTGTTTCAAATTTGGTAATTGAAGTTCGTAATGGATACTACAGCCGAAGACAGAAAATTGTCTGTGCAGGTCCACGTCTTAGTATAGCCCCTATATAACGGTACCTCCCTATATTCGGTATTTTTACGATTTTAGCGACATTTTTCACCGGAATTGTCACAAATTTGGTATTTGAAGTGCGTAATGGATACTGCAGCCTAAGACAGAAAATTTTCAATGCAGGTCCAGGTCTTCGTATACACCCATGTAACGGTACCGCCCTATATTCAGCATTTCGATGATTTTAGCTACATTATTAATCGGAATCGTTTCAAATTTCGTATTTGCAGTTCGTAACGTGTTCTAAAGACTGTGACATAAAATTTTCAATGCAGGTTCAAGTCTTCCGATAGCCTCCATATGACAGTACCTACCTATATTCGGTATTTTTATGATTTTAGCGAAAATTTTTACCCGAATTGTTTTAAGTTTCATATTCGAAGTTTGTAATGGGCAACACAGCATATGCCTAAGAATTTCGTATGCAGGTTCAGGTCTTCCTATAGCCCCAATATAACGATACCTCCCTATATTCAGTATTTTGATGATTTTGGCAAAATTATTCTCCGGAATTGTTTCAAATTTCGTATTTGCAGTTCGTAACGGGGGCACTTCGAAATGGGTATTTCAGCCTGTGACATAAAATTATCTATACAGGTATAGGTCTTCGTATAGCCCCCATAAAATGGTACTTCCCTATATTCGGTATTTTGATGATTTTCGCGACCGAAAAAACCGAGTCGTTTCCCTTTCCACTGTTGATCTGTTCCTGAACTACGAAAATATAAAAGTCTTAACTACGATAACCGATTTTTCCTTTATGATATCGAAACTGTTTGCAAAACTAGTAGATTCTTGCACTATCTGAAACAGAACATGTGTTATACAAAAGTGAAAAATACTTACAAAAGACATGGCATAGAAATTCGCCACCAGCACCAATACCGAACATGCAATTTGTACGGAAATGGGAAAACTTATAAGATCTTCAGCAATTTTGACAATATGAATAATATCACCATAATATTTGACGCAATTTTTCAACTGAGCCGTAATCTCTTCATCACTAGTCTCCGAATCCATGCCCAAATGTTTCAAACGATCACAGAGTATATCCAATTGACCCTTGGCGTGAATCATAAATGAGGCCGATATCGAGTCAAAGGCAATGTTTGTATAACAACAAACCGATACGGCCAAATATTGATAGATATACACCAGAACAAAACGGAGTTTGGTGTCCGTGTTAATTGGATTATATATCGACATTGGCAATTGAGTTGTGTCGATAATGTACTGAGTGAAAAGCAAAGCGTTCAGGGCACACAACGATATGGTCGTATAAAAATTACGCACAGTTCGTGCCAAGCGTTGAGATTCCCGAAATAGTTGAAGTTCCCTGCTATTGGTGGGACGAAATTTCGCTTCATGCATAGCTTCGATTAACTCCGCATAGAGATTATTTTTTATTTTAATTGCCAAGAATTTTGCCAACACTCCCATGGCTGTGGCAAATATATAGAACACTTTGATGACTTCATTCAAATCGGTGATATTCGAAATGAATTGAATCAAACAACTTATGTCGAACGATAGAACCCAGCCGATGAGAATATAATAGAAATAAATACGATGCAGTAGACGAAAACGATCCGACACCGTATCCGAAAGTTTCAGCTGAGCAAAGATGCGAAAGATGAAAGATTGTTTTTTATAAAAAGTTTTCATAGCCTCACGATGTTCGAGGGAGTTCATTTTTTGTTTGTTCTCTTCGCGAATAATAATTTGGCTATTTTCTGTTGCTATTTACCGAATGTGAGAAATCAAAGGCAATGTGGGGGGTTTTTATATGTAAGCATATGAGTTACTTCATAGTCTAATAAGGTGGCCGAATAAAATTATTAATGAAGGATCTGAAGGATAACAAAAGTTGCATAATACAAAAAATATGGATATTTTAAAGATTAGATGATTCCGTTCTGCATAAATCCTCTAACTGGGAGATGAATATGTAAGAATTTAAATCTAATATAAATTATACTAAAATCAATTAAATATATATACCATGGGTTTATGTTACAGAAGGTAGAACAAAGCTACCCTACTACCCCCTATTCTGCGTGTATTGTTTCAAATAAAAATAATATCGGTTTGTTGTTATACAAACATTGCCTTTGACTCGATATCGGCCTCGTTTATGATTCACGCCAAGGTTCAATTGGATATACTCTGCGATCGTTTGGAACATTTGGGCATGGATTCGGAGACTACCGATGAAGAGATTACCATGCAGTTGAAAAATTGCGTTAAATATTATGGTGATATTATTCATATTGTCAAAATTGCCGAGGATCTTATAAGTTTTCCCATTGCCGTACAAATTGCCTGTTCGGTATTGGTACTGGTGGCGAATTTCTATGCTATGTCTTTTGTAAGTAATTTCCCCTTTTTCACCTTTGTATGACACATGTTCTGTTCCAGAACCTGCAAGAATCTGCAAATACGAAATTTAAAACAATTCCGGTCAACAATGTCGCTAAAATCATCAAAATGCCGAATATAGTCCTGCAGACCAAACATACATCTCACTACAATTTTATTAACCTACTTCAATTCTTTCGGAAGCTAGAGTGATTCCCACAGACGGACGGACATCTTTAAATTGACATAAAATTTAGAAAGGAGTTCAAAGTCTTTTTGTAAAAGTACCTCCCTCTGTATGTCGGTACGAAAGTGAATGTGAAAAAAACACGATTCCGAATACAAAGGGTGTTTATACCCTACACCACATAGTGGTAAGGGTATTATGTCTTTGTGCATTTGTTTGTAACATGGAGAAGGAAACGAGATAGACCCATAGTTACTTTTGAGAACCTTCATAGAATCACTTTCTGAGTCGATTTATGCATGTCCGTCCGTCTGTCCGTCCGTCCGTCCGTCCGTCCGTCTGTCCATGTATTTTTGTGAATTGAGATGAAATTTTCCAAACAATATTTTTTTGGCCCAAGGACGAACCCTATTGAAATTGGTGAGAATCGGATCAAATTTAGATATAGCTCCCATATATATCTTCATCCGATTTCGGGTTAAATGAGCACCAAATGTCCACTATCAGTCCAAATTACCTGAATTTTGGCACACCCAACCGGGTTCGGCCTAGAAGCAAGTATATCAAATTTGGAGAAAATCGGTTCAGATATAGCTATAGCTCCCATATATATCTTTCATCCGATTTGATCTTTAAGTCCCTCACATTCCTACTATGCACTCCACAACCGTGATATTTGGTACCAGGTATTAGATGGAGCACAGAAATAGCTGTTTTAAATTTTATCGAAATCGGTTCAGATTTGGATATAGCTCCCATATATATCTTCATCCGATTTCGGGTTAATTGACCACCAAATGGCCAATATCAGCCCAAATGGCCCGAATTTTGGCACATGTGACCGAGATTAGCCTTAAAGTAAATACAACAAATTTGGAGAAAATCGGTTCAGATTTGGATATAGCTCCCATATATCTTCATCCAATTTCGGGTTAATTGTGCTCCAAATGGCCGATATAAGCCCAAATGGACTGAATTTTAGTACATCGGACCAAATTCAGCCTAGAAGTAAGTATATCAAATTTAGTGAAAATCGGTTCAGATATAGATATAGCAAGCATATATATGTTTCATCCGATTTAGTGTTTTAGTCCCTTACATTCGTAATGTTCACTCCACAACCGTGATATTTGGTACCAGATATAAGGTACAGCCCAGAAATAGCTGTTTGTAATTTTATCGAAATCGGTTCAGATTTGGATATAGCTCCCATATATATCTTCATCCGATTTCGGGTTAATTGTGCACCAAATGGCCGAAATAAGTCCAAATGGACTGAATTTTAGTACATCGGACCAAATTCAGCCTAGAAGCAAGTATATCAAATTTAGTGAAAATCGGTTCAGATACAGATATAGCAACCATATATATGTTTCATCCGATTTAGTGTTTTAGTCCCTTACATTCGTAATGTTCACTCCACAACCGTGATATTTGGTACCAGGTATTAGATGGAGCACAGGAATAGCTGTTTTAAATTTTATCGAAATCGGTTCAGATTTGGATATAGCTCCCATATATATCTTCATCCGATTTCGGGTTATTGACCACCAAATGGCCGTAATAGCATCAATTTTGGCAAATCCGACCGAAACCAGCTTAGAAGCAAGTACACCAATTTTAGTAAAAATCGGTTCAGATATAGCTATAGCTCCCATATATATGTTTCATCCGATTTCGTCTTTAAATCCCTCACATTCGTAATATGCACTCCACAGAAATGATATTTGGTACCAGTTATCAGATAAAGCCCAAAAAAAGTTGATTTTAATTTTATTAAAATCTGTTCCGATTTGGATATGCCTCCCATATATATCTTCATCCGATTTCGTGTTAATTGACCATCAAATGGCCAATATCAGCCCAAATGGCATGAATTTTGGCAAATCCGACCGAAACCAGCCTATAAGCAAGTATACACATTTTAGTAAAAATCGGTTCAGATATAGCTCTAGCTCCATATATATGTTTCATCCGATTTGCTCTTTAAGTCCCTTACATTCGTAATATACTCTTCACAGGAATGATATTTGGTACCAGATATCAGATAAAGCCCAAAAATAGTCGATTTTGATTTTATAAAAATCTGTTCAGATTGGGATATAGTATAGCATAGCATACTCTTCACAGGAATGATATTTGGTACCAGATATCAGATAAAGCCCAAAAGTAGTCGCTTTTAATTTTCTCAAAATCTTTTCAGATTAGGATATAGCACCCATATGTATCTTCATTCGATTTCGAGTTAATTGTGCAACAAATGGCCAATATCAAGCGAAATGGCATGAATTTTGGCATATCTGGCCAAATTCAGCCTAGAAGCAAGGACACCAATTTTAGTAAAAGTCGTTTCAGATATAGCTATAGCTCCCAAATATATCTTCATCCGATTTCGGATTAAATGTGCAGCAAATGGCTAATATTGGTACATCAAATTTAGTGAAAATCGGTCGGATACAGCTATAGCTCCTATATATACCTTTCATCCGATTTGTACTTTAAGTCCCTCAAATTCGAAAAATGTACGATACAAGAATAATATTTGGTATCAGATGCAGCCAAGAAATATCTTCTTTTTCAGTTTTACAAATATCGGTTCAGATTTGGATATACCTCCTATATATATATATTCATCCAATTTCGTGTTGATTGCGCACCAAATGTCCAATATCAGCCCAAATGTCCTGGGTTTTGGCAAATCTGACCGAATTCAGCCTAGAATCAAATACATCAAACTTGGTGAAAATCGGTTCAGATGTAGCTATAGTTCGTAAAATGCACGATAGAATTAGATAGATTTTGATTTTGTACCAAATATCTCATAGAGCTCTGAAATGCCCTGTATAAACCTTTTTCGAGAGCTCTACTAAATATGCATAGTAGTGTAGGGTATCATATAGTCGGGCCCGCCCGACTTTTGGGCTTTCCTTACTGGTTTTTTATTGAGGTAGCTTCGAAGTGAAATAAAACGCAAGAAAATCGTTTTAATGTACATCAATTTTGCTTTAATGGATGGATAATTTTATGCCGAGCGACTTCACATATCCCCAAAGAAAATAATCCAATGGTGTCAAATCACACGATCTTGGTGGCCAATTAATAGGTCCACTCCGCGAAATTATGCGCTCATCGAATGTTTCCTTCAATAATTCGATTGTGACGTGCGCTGTGTGGCATGTAGCGTCGTCTTGTTGGAACCACAACTCATCCACATTCATGCCATCCAATTCGGGAACAAAATAGTAGGTTATCATGGCTCTATACCGGTCTCCATTAATGGTAACTGACTCTCCAGCATTATTTCGGAAGAAGTATGGCCCAATGACCCCACCAGCCCAAAGAGCACACCAAACAGTCAGTTTTTGTGGATGTAATGACATCTCAAGGGTCTCATGTGGATTCTCTTCACTCCAAATGCGGCAATTTTGCTTGCTGGCGTAGCCATTAAACCAAAAATGAGCCTCATCACTGAAAAAAAAATTTGTGATGAAAATCAGGTTCGAGATGAATCTCATTTTCGGCCCATACACCAAAATCACGATACATTGCATGGTCTCGCGGCTTTAATCTAGCCAAGATCTTTGCTCAAAATCTTCCATAAAGTTGATGGACAAAGCTGCAATTGCTGTGCATGGTGGCGAATCGATTCATTCGGGCTCAGCTTCAACACTTTGCTCTACAGCGGCAATTGTTTTTTCGGTGCGCACTGTCCGACGTCTCTGCGGATGCGTATTATCACATAGAGTAAACGCAGTCCGTAAACGATCCATGGTTAATTGCTCTAATGGACGATTATGTCGACCATAAAATGGACGGAGCTTGCGGTGAACTTCGCGAACTGAACCATTACTTTCGAAATAAATTTTGCACGATTCGCAAGCGTTGTTCTTTTGTCAACCTGTTCATGATGAAAGTGGCAAACCAAACTAAATATTAATCACTTGACAGCTGACAAAATGGCCGCCAGTTAAAAAAGTGATGCCAATTTAATGTTCTATATAAAAAACGCCCTTTATTTTAAGAGATTGTCAATAGAGATGATGAACGCTAAAAAAACTTTTATCGTTAGTCCTATCATATCCATATCTCAAGTACGGTACATTGAATTAGAAATAATACTCAATTGGAGATTTCATTGGATGTTAGTTAATTGTTATTTTATCGTTAGTCCTATCATATCCATATCTCAAGTACGGT